TCCCGCCCTTCCTCATTTTTTCTCTCATTAATTCTTCTCTTATCATATATCCTGGTGTATTCCATCCTACCCCCATTATCCATCTTAAATATCTTTCATGCATTCTCTCTATCTTTTCCCTTTCCCTCCACCCCCAAATTTCCACCCCGTAGCTCATCACCGTCCATACTAATCTGTCAAAAAGCCATAATCTTCTCGCCCAATCCCCTCCATATCTCCTTTTCCCTATTCCCCATACTTCTCTCATTACTACCGCCCCTTTTCTTGCCCTCTCTCTTATGTGTTCTTTACTCTTTCCATTAGCCATCACTACATATCCTAAATACGTGAACTTTCTCACTTCTTCTATCTCATTTCCCTTCCACCTCCATTTAACCTTTTTCCACCTCCCTCCTCCTTTCCTGCATCTCATCACCTTCGTTTTCACAATGTTAACTTCCAGTCTGTTTTCCTCCATATACTTCTCTAACCCCTTTATCATTCCTTTCATCCCTTCTTCATTTTCCGCTATCACCGCTATATCATCCGCATACGCCATCGACCATATCTTTCTTCCTCCTACTTTAATCCCTCCCCATCCCTCCCTTTCCAATTCCTCATCCAAGTCCGCCAACAACATTGCGAATAGGCATGGGTTCAATGGACACCCCTGCCTTACACCTCTCCCTGTCCAGAATATTTTCCCCTCTTTGTCCTCCACCTTTACCCTACACCTTGTTTCCCTTAATACCTCTTCACATCTCTCTACCAGTCCTTCCCTTACTCCTCTTTTCCTTAAGCATTCTCTCAATTTCCCTTTATCTACCGAGTCAAAAGCCGCCTTTAAATCTAAGAACAGTACCACTTCCCATTTTTTTCCGCTATCTTTTTATTTATTATGTAGTTCAACCCATATATCTGATCCACTGTGCCTCTTCCCTCTCTAAAACCTGCCTGACTCGGAGGTAGCATCCCTTTCTCCTCCACCTCCTTCCTCATTCTCTTTGTTAGCACCGTTGCGTATATTTTGTACGTCTGTGTTAATGTTATCCCTCTATATTCCTCTACTTTTTCCCTTTTCCTTTCTTCCATACTGGAACTACTACCCCCTCACTCCATTCTTCCGGCCATCCCTCTCCCCTCCACACCTTATTACATATTTCTCATAACCAACTCCTCACCTCCTCTCCCACATACTTCCATACTTCATTTGCGATTCCGTCCCCTCCTGCCGCCTTCCCATCTTTCAGACCTCTTATCACCTCTTCTATCTCCTCTCTACTTATTTCTTCTTCTTCCCCTATTCCTCCATTGTTTCTTTCTCCCTCGTCTCTCACCTTCCATTCCACTCACCCTAGCATTTCCTTAAAGTATTCTTCCCACTCGCTCTACTCCTTTTCTCCTCCCCCTTTCTCTTCTTACCACCTTCCATACCTGCCTTTCCGTTCTTATACCTTCTACTTCCCTTTCCCATTCCTCCCTTTCCTTCCTTTTCTTTTCTTCACATAATGTCTTATATTCTTTCTTTCTTAGCTTATATTCTTCCCCCTCTCCCCCCTTCCTTTTCCATTTTCTAAACTCCTCCTTCACTTTTTCTTTTAATTCTTTACACTCCTCATCCCACCATCCTTTTTTTCTTACTCCGCCCATTTCCCTTTCCACCTTCTCTATCGCCTCTTTCACCCTTCCTTTCAGCCTCTCCCACTCCTCTCCTACCATCCCTCCCTCACCTTCTCTCCTTCCACAATATTCTATAAATTTCCTCCTCCCTTCCTCTGTCCATATCCCTCTCCCCCTCCTTTTCTTCCATCCTTTTCTCCCCCTCTCCCTCCTCTCTCCCTCCACCCATACCGTCAAAGGTTGGTGATCCGACTCTGTGTTCTCCTCTACCACCAACCTTTTCACGCTTCTTCTTGTTTCTCTATCTCCCACCACGTAATCTATCACCGTTCCGCCTCTTCCACCTGTATATGTCCACTCTCCCTCCTCATCCCCCTCTGTATTTCCATTCATTATTGACCATCCCATTTCTTTTAAAAATCTACATAACCTCCTTCCCTCCCCATTACTCTTCTCATCTCTCGATTTTCTTCCTCTCTCCCTTTCCTCATCCCCTTCCTCTCCTCCTCCTCCAGTCCCCGTCCTTGCATTAAAGTCTCCATCTATCAATGTTTTTACCCCTTCTTCCCTGTTCTCCATCCATTTTCGTAGCTTCTCTATTTTCCTATCTAAATCCTTATTCACATACACTCCTATTATCCTCCACCACTCTTTTCCTATTTTTACCTTCATGCTCATCATTCCTTCTTCCTCATCCTCCTCTACTTCCCCTTCTATCTCTATTTCCTCCCTTCTTCCCATTACTATCCCTCCTATCGCTCTTCCTTTTTTATTCTTTTTCCCTGCCTCTTGTATCTCCCATCTATATCCTTTTGGTAACCACCTTTTCACCTTCTCCCATCCTTTCTTCTGCACCCATGTCTCACTCATGTAAATTATATCCCATTTTCTTATTCCCTCCCAGAAGTCCTTATCTTTATTCATTAATCCTGCTACGTTCCAGAAGCCTATCTTGTATTCCTCTTTTCTCTTTACTTCTCCTTTCTTTTTCTTTTTTTTCTCCTAACACTTCTCTGCTCCTCTTCTTTTCCTTCCCCTTCTTCTCCCCCACTCCTGCACCTTTCTAGAAAAACTCTTTCTCCTCTCTTTCTTTTCTATTTCCTATCTCCTGTCCCTTTATCAACTCGTCCTTTTCCTCGTCCCACCTCCATAGTTTCCCCTCTACCCACATTTTCATATATCCCACCCTTACCCTTAGTCCCTCCCTTCTTTTCCCTTCCCCTTCTCTCCTAATTTTCCACTCCACTCTCCTTTCCTTTTACGTCAAATCGTCTCTTATCCATTCGTTTCTTTCTTTTAAATTCTTCTTTCCTTTCATCACCTCGATTTTCTCTCCTACGCTTGCGAACCTGACCATTACAATTACTTTACCTTCTTCATTTCTCCTCCCTACTCTCTTTACTTCTTCTATCCTTACTTTCGCCCCTGTTTCCTTCACTATCTCTTCTACCTCCTCCCTTAATCCTTCCCACCCTTCTTTCTTCGCCTTTACCCCTTTTATTATAACGTTTCTTTTTCTTTCTTCTCTTTCCTTTTTCTCTCCGTCTATTTCCATCTTCTTCACCCTTTTTCCTATCTCTTCCCATCTCCTATCTTTCTTTTCCCCTCCTACTTCCTCTCTCTTCTCTCCCTTCCCTTTATCCTCCTTTACCTCCTCTTTCTCCTTCTTCCTATATTCTTTTATCTCCTCTTCCATATTCCTAATCCTTTTCTCTAGCTCCTCCTTCTCCTTCTTCCACCCGTTCATCCTTTCCTCCATCCACTTTTTCATCTCTTTTTTCTCCTCATTCCATTTCCTGATCTCTTCTCTTATCTCTTCCCATGCCTCTCTTGCCTCCCCCTCTCTCTTATCTCCCTCTCTCTCCTTTCTTATTGGCGATCTACCCGTTTCCTACTCCTTCTAAAAATATTATCCTGCTCCCCTTCCTCCTCCTGTCTGCTTCTTTTTTCCCCTTTTTTAAAATAATTCTGATAACGGAACGCTGTTCGCCCTCTCTCTTTTCAATATTTCCGCATGTGTCGGTCTTCCTACCTTTCCCTTCTCTTCACCCTTCGTCCCCTCCTCTACCTTCCTATCCTCCTCTATTTTCTTGTCCTCCTCTACCTTTTTAACCTCCTCCGTTTTCTTTCCCTCCTCCACCTTCTTATCCTCCTCCATTTTCACCTCCTCCTTTTCTATAAACCTCTTCCTTCTATTACTTGCCTCTTTTCTTCTTTCCTCTGTATGCTCCCCCTCTATCTATCCTCTCTATTCTATGCCTGCGGCCCGCTCTTCTTGTCTCTACCGCTTTCCTCTCTACCACTCTCGCTAGTCTATGCTTGCCGCTGCTCCCTGGCTAACCTATCTCCCGCTATCCTCCTTTCTCACCTCTGTGGCTTTCCTACTCACTCTCGCGCCTCCCCTTCTCTCTCCCGCCTTCTCTCCGATCTCCTTCACGTCCGCCCGTACCTCGCTCTTGCTCCAACGCTCTCTTTCCTACTCTATCTACTTTTCACTCTCTCGCTCACTCTCACACACTGTCACTCGCACGCTGCCGGAAACGGAAGTCCGTAAAGAACGCAGTAATAAATCCCAATTGAAAAAAAAACACAAAACACTGTGTGTCAAACAGGTTCCGTTTGTATAACAGGCTCTATTTGTGAGCAGTCTGTTTCTGAAAAAGACTGTGATAAGTCAAAATAATGATTAAGATACAACTTGGCATTATTATAAGTAACATTTGATTCGAAACTTTATAACTTAAAGTGATATTATGAACTTTAAAAGTTAAATAATATATTTAAACGAAAGTTTAATATCATTTTGGTCAAATACTTATTTTATTTTCGTAATCGTAGTCGATTTGTTTAGTTTATTTTCATTATGTAGTCTTGTGCAATGTAGGTTTACAAAATTTATGCGCTAAAAAAATTTATACTGTATGTAAGGTAAAAGTACCAATGACTGGCCACTGCCCATTAACTGGCCATTGATGGAAGATTTATTTTTTATTAAGCTTTTGAAATGAAATCTGAAACATATTTTTACTGATAAAATTAATTTGACTATTTAGTTTCTTATTTTAAAAATTGTGCTATTTAAAACTTTGTTTAAGATATTGAAAAAAATATTTGAATACTTATGCTTAAATGCAGCGTGAGTTTCAATAGATTTCTTACGGAATGGCTAAAAAAAGTGAAATGCTGGTTAAGCCTATAATTATCGAAATAATAAGTTTTTCTGCATGAAAAAAGATGTTATAGAATCTTAAACATATTTATAATAAATAGAAAGCAAGAAATTGCACGTGTAAATTATTTTTTTTATAAATATTTACGTGGCTATCTATTGGTACGTGAAAATCTTGTTTGCCCAATAACTAACCGACTGGCTAGTTATTGGTCGAGTCGCCGCAACATGTGCTCACTCTTGTGCTGTAGTACCTGGCCGTAACATCTCCTCAGTTGAAGTGATCTGTGTGCACACTTTTTGTACGAAAATCGTAAGTAAACTTATTTTTAACATTAGTTCTAGCAATATTATATTACATTTATACATATTTTTAAAGTTTTATGCATTTTTTCTACATGTTGTATGTATAACTTCAAAAATTTGTTTACTTTTTCTATTACAGAAAACGCAAGATGAGCAAGGAGAAAAAGAAACTAAATCGATCAAAAACAGTGTATGAAAAGAAATACACACAAGAAGATGTACGTAATGCGTTAAAAGAAATAGAAAAGGGCATATCGACACGAAGGGCTGCTGCTACATTCAAAGTGCCAAGAAGTACTTTGTACGCAAAGACGTCATTCCAGTCGAAGGTATGAGAGGCCCGGGTACCTACTTAACAGCTGAAGAGGAAAAATTGTTGGTAGATTGGATTTTTTACTGTGGTGAAAGAGGTTTTCCGGTTACAAAATCTCTACTGCTACAGTGCGTGCAAAAATTGGTTACTGAATTAGGAAGGAAAAATCCTTTCAAAAATAACCAGCCAGGCAGACACTGGTGGGAGTGTTTTTGTAGACGTCATCCTGAAATAAGCTCAAGAGTTGCCCAAAATTTGAATATGAATCGGGTGTCAGTCTCAGAAGATGCTTTAAATAGTTGGTTTAATGAAGTCAAAGAATATTTAAAGAAGCTTGATTTATTAGATATCGATCCATCGAGAGTCTTTAATTTAGACGAAAGTGCTTTTTTTCTTGTCCCAAAGGGAGACTCAGTGTTGGCCCGCAGAGGATCAAAGACTGTGTATAAAGTTGTACACGGTGACGAAAAAGAAAGCATAACTGTCTTGTTTACGGTAAATTCTCAAGGTACTTTATTACCACCATTCTTTACTGGTATGAGAGGATTCCAGCTCTTGTTACAAGCAACCTACCTAAAGGATGGCTAGCTGGGAATACCGAAAGAGGATGGATGACTGCAGAAAGTTTTTTCAACTATATAAGTACTCAATTTCATCCTTGGCTTGTAAAAAACAAAATACAATTTCCAGTGATTTTATTTGTTGATGGCCATGTATCTCATCTGACATTAGCTTTGGCACAGTTTTGTAAAGCTAACCAGATTGAACTCATAGCTTTGTATCCCAATGCAACGCACATTTTGCAGCCGTTAGACGTTGCAGTGTTCCATCCGTTAAAGTCTAAATGGAAGAAAACAGTCGACGAGTGGAGAATTGAAAATGGTTCGCAAAAACTGAAGAGAAAAAATTTTGCTCCTGTTTTGAAAAAAGCTTTGGATGCAATGCCAAATTTACCAAAAATCATTCAAAATGGTTTTAGAACTTGTGGTCTTTTACCATTTTCTTCTGAGACTGTGGACTTTAATGTTCTGAATAAAAAAAAGAAAAAGAATGGAGAGTCAACAGAACATACGAATCAAGAGTTATCAGCTACGAGCGCAGAAGAAGAGGATGCTAAGAAACATCTTAAATACATGGAACAACAATTAAGTCCTGATACTCTTAAAGATTTTGAACAGGCATTATCTAGTGGAAGTTTCGAGATTAGTAACAGTGCTAATGAAGGACTTTTCAAATATTGGCTGGATACAAAGCGTCTTTCTGGTAGTCTGGTGGTCTTTCTATAGTACAACTACTATATAAAATGAAATGAAATATTTAATTTAACATTGTTGTACCCTACTAATATTTTATTTAGGAGAGAATGTGAGAGTAAGTAATGTGTCTACGAATGAGAACTCCGGACAGGACACAAATGATGTACTGATTGACTCAGTAGCTGATATATCTCAAGTATTAGATATTAGTAATCTAGAAATAATTGTAGTACCTGAAGAAGATGGAAGTGATTTGCTATTAGACCCAAAATCTTTAGATGTAGTCGAAGCTCGCATTGAGTCTCCAAAGCTTTCCTACTTAACAGAGAATTATGCAGAGTCTGTCGATGCTAGTGATCTATTCTTCAAAAGTTTGTAAACTATTATTACTTATGTAAGATAAATTATCAAACTTAATTTCTTATTATTTTATTTATTATAGATGAGAATGAAAATGAAAAGAGTAATAATATTAAGGAGTCTATTACTGAACAGCCTTTCGATATTTGTTGTGTAGATGATCAGAATTCGAATAAAAGTATTTTGAATGTAAGTGAAAGCGATGTTATAAATGTAGAAATAACGGAAAATGCAACGAAAAGCCATAGCGTTATGCTTGAAGAACTGCAACCAAATGTAAATATAGACAAGCAAGTTTTCAATACCAGTTCTGTAAAAGGTAATTTGTGTTAAAAACATATTACTTATATAAAAAGAAATATGTACAAAATTTTAATTTTTTTCTAATATTCAGAGTTAACTAGCGATAAAGAAAATCAAAGTAATTCTGATGCAATAGATCTAATTAAAAGTATGAAAAAATTGGAAAAGACTGATGAAAATTCTAATGAGAATGCCAAGGAAGAAATCGTTTTGAAAGAGATAAAGAACCAGATGTCTGATAAACTTCAAGGTTTGTATGAAATTTTAAAATTATTTATTATATTAGTATTATAATTTTTTATAAAAAGTTTCTTCTTACAGATGTTAATACTAAAACCAACGAAAATAAAGTAATAGAGAACATGCCTTCACCATTTCAAAAATCTCTGGTTTGGCCTGCAAATATTACGAAAAATAAGAAAAAGAAGCCTGCTAGAAAAGTCTCCACCGTGTTGACTTCTGAAGAGTGGCAAGAGCAACAATTAAAAATACAAGAAGAAAAGTTAAGAAAGCAGAAAGAGATCGAAGAACGAAAAAAGCTTAGAGAAGAAACAAAAAAAAGAAAGGCCGAAGAGAAGCAAATAAAAAAGGCTGTACTCGAAGAAAAAAAGAAGCTGAGCCAAGAAATTAAAAAATTGATGACGCAAAAAAAAACGATTGGAATCAAAAAAGAGTAAGTTGATTAAACGTCCACCATGTGTTTTTCTTATAGTCTTAAATTCGTTTAATGCAATAAATTAAAATAATATTAATATATTAATAATTTATTATATTCTTAGATTTAAAACTTAAATTAAAACTAAAAAAGTTTACTTATAAAACTGTTTATTTATAACAAAGAATTTATAAAACTGTTTACTTATAACTAAGGACTTATTAAGCTGTTTACTTATTGTTGGAATATAAAAGTTGGCAGCACTGCTCGGTGCAACCTTTTCTCCTACAGAGCGCGGGCCTGCTCCCCCACCCAGCGCCCTAGTCCAGTTCTGTTCTGTCTGTGTAACGAGGAAGCTACAAGCTATACAAATATATCTCAAAGGAAAACTATATTAGGCCGTTTTCTTTTCCGCATCACCAAAAGAAATCCCGACAGGTTATGGGCCCAGCACGCTTCCACTGCGCTGGCTGGTAGGTAGGGTGCGAAGAGTTTTGATAGCAAGTACAGGAAGGAAAAGAAAAGGCGAGGAGGATCTAGAAGGTTCGAGAAAGCCACGAGGCGACTGGATCTGAGAAAAGTTGCGACCGGGGATAAGAGATAGACGCAACAAATTGGTAAGGTATGCCGGGAAGGGCTGTTGCGAGTTATAATCGTCGAGCGCGAAATTGTCTGACGAAAGTGTAGAATTGTAACCACGTGGGAGGTTAGCTGTGCGAGGTTAAGAGGTAGGAACGTGGGCGGTACGCGCTTCAGCGAGACTCGGGCCCCGCATACGATGTGATAATACGAAACGACGAAGTCAATCAAGAAGTATTGATTACTTCATTCTCCTTTTTCATGATCTAATAACCGTCGTAAAAGAAACAGTCACTTGTCAACTAGCGAAAACTAAACGAAGACTTGCGAGCGATCCAGAAAATGACGAACAATAATGAATACAGTTGAGGTTAAATTTTAATCAACATTAGACACAGAAACCTGCTTCTCGGGTGATTGGATTCTCTTTCTTAGTTGTGTTCACTGGAGAGAGGATTTTTATCACTAGGATCATTACGGAAGTGTGTGATAGTAGCATGCACGAAAGTATGATTCGTCTCGAGTTTCGGTGCTTGCCGTGCGGCATCGAGATTCAGAGGCACAGTCTCGGGTCTGCCAGAACAAAACGATAACGAGGTGCTACGATGCGTTGCGTCGCGAATACGATATATATTTGAACGAGAGGTGAACAATCGGTTGATGTTACAGAAGGAAAAGACATCTTCGTGACGGCGGAACACAAGATGGCGGATAGCGAGCTAAACCGAGAGGACGGCGACGGTTCACAAAAGATACAAAGACAAGTGACTACTACGGCCATTATGGATAATTCAGAAGCTCTATTTTCAGATGAGAGTCACGAGAATGGTCGTTACTTAGGTAAAATCAACGAACTTGTTCGGAACATGTTTTATAAATCTCGGTGGGTAACGAATCGGAGGTTATTAAGAAGGTTTAACTTTACGAGTAAATAAAGAATAGAAATCTAACGAGTTAACAACGAATAATCTAATCTGAATAGCAATAAAACAATAACGGAACGAACAGTCCAAAGTAACAATAGATCAAAAGATAAATAAACCAGCTAATTTTGTGTCTAATCGTATAGGAAAAGAGGATCTCAGTAAACTAACACAAAAATACGGTGCCCTACAAGACATGCTGAACCGAACAATCCAAATGCAACACGAAGCTCAAGCTGAACTAGGGAGATTATTGAAGGCTAGACAAGCGGAAACGAGCGTGGAGGATAGAGCAATGAAAGGAATCGATAAATTGAAGCCGAAAATCAAGTCAATTGTCAATATACCCGCGGTGAACTATCCAACACTCGAAGTTCGAAATTCAGTAGTTTCGGAAGATATAATCAGAAACATTTTTCGTGAAGAATTAAACAAACTCAACCTTGACATGAACACTCAAAAAATTCCGGCTCTGGGAAAAGAACAAACTGTGCAGTCTAACAGTTTAAATATGGCTAATCAAATAAAAGAAGCCATTAGAATAGAAGTTGTTAATAAAAACAATAGCACGAAAAGAGACTACAAGCTAGGTCCCCAAGTAAAGTTTGAACATTTTTATGAATTTTTCAAGTCAGAATTACGTACCAACGAACTACTTTATATCATAGACGAGAATGCAGATCCCCCGAAAGGAATAAATGATCAAATAAAAGAGAAATATATACATAGTGTTAGAGATATACTAATTAATCGAATTGATCAGACATATCACTCAAAAATTCTAAGTATTCTAGATCCTAAACAGATTCTTAACGTGTTGAAAGAGTTTAAAAGATGCGAGACAAATTTGACAAGTGTTGGAATAAGACGGAAATTATACTCTATAGAATACAGAGAAAACGAGTCTGCAATGAAATTCTGGGATCGCTTTGAAGAGCTGATACGAAGTTACGAAAATATTCCGGATTCCACTCCACTCTCAGACGAGGAAAAACGAGACGCCTTTTATAATGCAATATTGCCCGTTTTTCCGGAAGTTCAAACACTCGACTTCATGTTAAAGAATCAAACAGGTAAAGGACTGACCTATGACAGACTCAAGTCATTTATAGTTGAAGCCGAAGCAAATCGAGCAAATGCAACTACCTCTAAGAGGACATATCTGCTTTCTCAGCGGCACGTTCGAACCGATGCACAGTGGGGCCAAATCCCAAAAAGCTGGCCAAAAATCGAAAAGTGATCCAATCTGGATGTAACTCAATATATAAGGGTTTTTGAGGTCACTGATCACGAATCTGAAGTCGAAATTTTGAAAAAACAAAATGGCGACCCAAAATGGTGGAAAAGAATCCTGAATTTTCGCTTATTATTGATTGTTTAGCGTGGTTAGGTAAATTATACGGATATTTTAATTTCGAAGACATTAATTTTTCAATTTTTGCATACATTTCTGTAGCACTTTCAGATAAATGATGTTTTAATACATCAAAAATTTCTTTTCTTGTCAGGCCATTTTCAACGAGCATTTCTGAACCTAAAAAAATTTTTTTAAATTATACATAAATTTGTTACATTTAAATGAAATTTAATTAATAGTTCTTTTTCTTTTAATTAAAAAATCATCGTGTAAAATGCATTAATAAATAATAACGATTGATTAATATACTACTCGTTAGTCTAAATTATATTAATATAATAAAAAGTTGCACTTAAAAAAATTGTTATACAAGAAATTTATCCCTTACTTTCACTCTGACCTGCCATGACATGAGCAAAAAATTTAAGCATTACAGTTCTGTTTCAGTTACTTAGCGCGTATTAACTAATATTTTATGGGAATCTTAATAACATTACAAAGCACTGTATATAAATACATATAACATCACGAGACACGGTAGTGTCTCGCGCCAAGTGTAAGCGAAGCTAGTACCGCGCGCGCAAGACCGACCGTGTAAGTTTACGCGAGTACACGACTTGACGGGCCCTCAGATTTTTTTTTCTCAACAATGGCTGATCCCA